AAATCCCAGCAACACATTATAGAACAATGCAGAATACCACCACCTATAGAGGACTACAAATCCCAGCAATACATTATGCAGAATATCACCAGCTAGAGAGGACTATAAATGCCGGCAATGCAGAATATGAAGCCCTGGTGAGCAACACAGAGTATGTGGTGTCTCGAAGCTGTGCAGCACCTGACCAGGGCTGCATGCGAGTCTCCCAATTTCTGTTTGGACGGGTGCAGGTGCGGGTGGCGGAAGAAGGGAGCAGGAGATATACATACAAAATTTAAAGGCCCTGTATTGGGGCATTTTCCCGAGTACTGATACTAGTCTCTGTGCATCCCTAAAAAATATATATACTTACTGCCTGGATCCTCTTCTATCTCTATCATTAAGCCCATTGTTGCATTTAACATGTTAAAGTGAAGAGGATCCATGGCAGGACAATGTGTACCTGTGTGCTACAATAAATTCTCCAGTGAAGTTTGCTTATTTCTGTGAGGGACTATGGATTTTGGACAAGACCGGTTCAGTTGGCATGCACCCGCCGCTCTCTAGTGCTGCTGTGAAGGAAGCCGATGGCTCATGGGGCAAGGGGTGGTTGTGATCTCTCAAAAGGTCCCAGTTCTACAATCCTGATCACAATCTGCCTGGTTCCCATTGGAGGAGTATGGTTCCTCGTCTGATTTCTGATGATTCCGCACACGAGGCCCAAACAGCTTAAATCACCCTTGCTTAAGGAAACCATTTTTATCTTTGGTGCATGTGTCTTGCCTGCATTTTCCTGGCAAAAGTCATCAGCCAATGTTCGTTTGCCTCACCCAGAGGAAATCGTTGCCCCCTCCTAAGCCTTTTGCTCAGCGATATTTTATAGAAATATTCCTAAAGAAATGGACTATCCAAATCATGAACCCAGTCTTTTCCTGCCTCAAAATCATAATGATCCTTGTTGAGGATCTTCTGTTTTTCAAATGCTGTGGACAAGACGGTCTTGGGCCCCCCCTTAGGATCTTGTTCGTTTTACAGGATTTGTCTTCTGGTCCAAAAACATGACTAGGGACCCTACATCTGTTCTGACTGATCCATCTGTACGCCAACATCTGGAGCTACTGTCATTGGCAATGTGCTTCTTTGTTTCTCTGAATATCCAGAATGAGCCTCCTCCCTCAGTACATATGCAAAATTATCCTTTGGCTGAAGTGTTATTCTGTGGAAATTTAATGAAAGAATCACTTCTTGATAATGGCCTTTGATAGGGGAACGAGTTTGGTGTGACTCCTTGGACACCTACATCAGGGAAATCACTGGGAAAGGGGGAGTAGAGAAGAGTATCCTTTTACCCCAGAAAAAGGGCTAAAGTACCAGCAGCTACTGCTGGTACTGTTGCCAACACTTTCCACTTCTGCTCCTGAAACAAAAAGTTCCTTTCATTTCTCTCAGCCCTTGGGGCAGATTTCCACTGTTCTTCAGAAGCTCCTGTCTCAGGGAGTTATAATATTTGTCCCAGCAGAGAAAAGGTTCCATGGTTTCCACTTATTCCTATTCATCACCCCCCTGGCAAATGGAGTCATTCTTTATCGAAAGATTCCCGGCAAGTTCCTTCGGGTTCAAAAATTCCATAGAGTTTTTTTAATGCACATCCCCATTTTCATACATCCCCATTATCATCAACTCGCATCAACCACCAAAGGGGCACCGGAAGTTATGCAACCCTGAAAGAAGTAGGCTTGATTCTGACTTGGGCAGAACTACACCTTCCGACGCTGACCGCTGAGCACATCAATGTCTGAACTCGGGAAAATTATCTGCTGCAGGTTGGGGACTCCAAAGCAAATAAGAAACTTCGATGTTTAACCTGGATGTTAGTGGGTCTACGTCTGGACTGCTCAGGAGGACATGGTACTGGGACATACTCTGACTCCTGGCAGACTCTGTGTGCCCTCCCAACATCGTCCAGAACTTTTGTCCCCGGAACCAGTCCATTATCCTGCTTCTCTGTTGCTGGATTTTAAGATTAGGCTGTTGAAAACCTAATTTCTTGATTCGGTCATCATCATGCTCTTGAAGGCTAGGAAATTGACTTCTCGAAGTCTACCATCTCACCTGGAAGGCCTACTTTGCATGGTGCAAGGCTAGGGAGTTCCATTCCAGAAAGTTCTCAATAGGACAGATTTTATCCTTCCTCCAATATGGTCTGGATCCTCATGGCCTTAAGCATCACCAAGGGTCAGATCATATCCCCTGCTATTCTTTTCCAAACACCACTTGCCTCACTCCTTGGTAAAAGCCTTTTTACAGAGTGTTGCTGCCCCTTCTTGAATATCCCCTGTCTACCCTTACAGGGTTGACTCTCGAGCATCCATTTGGTCCTTGACAATGATTGCAACCTGCGGACTCATGAGTTTGAGGGGGTAGCAGACATGGCAAAGAATACAGTTGAATTGTGGTGTGTGTATAATGTATAATGTGGAGATGTGTTGCATAGACTGTAGAATGAACATTACATACAGAGTGCAGTGGTGTGCAGTATAGAATATACACCAGATTATGTGTATTTAGTTCAACAATGTGGAATGTATATTATAGTATGAAGAATTGAACATCGAGCATCAAGTACAGTGAAGCTCTGTGAAGTATAGAATATATGGGTCAGTTTGCAGGATGGAGTGGTGTGTAGTAGATGGCACATCCTTCTTAAAACAAATTCTAGTGTGACTGTAATCAGTGTCCCAGAGAAAGCCTCTACTAGACACAACGCAATAAAATTGTGTGGTTGGAGCTTAGTAAAAAGGGGCTTTGAGCACATTAAACACTAACTCCACGCATCACCCTTTTTATACAATTGCAGTCCCTCAAAGTCCTTCACATCTTCCTTTTGAGTTATGTCCGTGACTGGCCAGAAGTTCAGTCAGGGCTGTACTATCCAGGAAGACTAAAGCCAGGTATACACACTTCAAATTTTGGCCGATTCTTGATGAACTGGCAGAGATTCGAAGCGTGGGTGCCGCTGTTGGCCCTTTTCCAGCCATCATCCCTCGATCAGCTGCTTTGAAGGAAGATGTCTGAAAATTATCTGCCGAACAGAACAGCCAAAAAAGCTGCTCGCTCTGTTCGGATATTCTGACAGCAGGGATTCCTCGACCAACACTCAGAAGCATTAATAGAGAAATCTGTTCTATTTTATCAAGAACATAGAAACATGTTTAGCCAACTTACGGATTTTTAACAAGTTTTTTTTTTTATCAAAAAGACTTTACTAAAAAGATGTTACGAGCTATGAAGGACTATAAACCTGTGTTGGTGGACTTTGCGTTTGTCGATGACATCAGTTTGAGATACTTCTGAGGAATGGGTCCTAAGGGGCTCTCTTTGCACGTCTCTGGCTTTTCTCAGGATGCAGTAAACTGTGTAGAAGAAATATGCAAACATTGCCTTACTTTCCCATAACGGTCACAGTTATGCTCTGACCTTTTTGCCCAGTACTGTTTTGGGACTTAAAAGAGAACTATGGGGTAAATGTTTTTCCCCATAGTTCTCTTAAGGGTCACGGGAGGACATATACTAGTGTCCTCCCATGACCCAAAGCTCAGTATATTGCAAGCTACAGCTCGCGGTATACTGAGACCATTGAAGCCAGGACGGATCCTGACATTACTGTCAAGATCCACCCAGGTGCGTGATTAACAGCTGGCTCTGCCTATCTAGAGGCAGAGCCAGCTGTACTCGCCCCTTCCCCCGTCCGTTCCTCCAGTCAGCACTGGAGGATCGGAGCGGGGAGGGGGGAATACCTGCAGGGAGCCGTGACTGTGTCTGCAAGATGATCGAGACGTGAGCTCACTTCCCAATCTATTGAGCCAACGTGTGACCGTTTCATTGTCACACGTCGGCTCAAACTATGAGGATGAGTGATTTTTCACTCACCTCATAGTTCTCGTTTAACTAATGAAATATGGAGGGGAACACTTTGATCACTGATGTTTGCAAGTTGTGCAACATAAGTGCCCAGAAGTCCCACATGCTTTTACAGAATACATTGCCACCAGAGCAATATTAACTTTTTTTCCTATGTCAATGAAAAATCTGCCCACTCTTCTAAAAATATATAATACATATCTATTGAGATGCATTGACAGGACACAGAAGTGACTTAGCGCCGCTTCATGTGTTTGTCTTATACTATCACCCAGAAAAAAACAAAAAACTAATGTATGCAAAATAAAACAAATGTGACAGTGAAACAATATTTCTGTGAAAGAGTATTTAGGCCTCATTCACACGCAACGCAATCAAAATTGTATATTGCATATATACGAGCATCTATGCGCGTATATACGAGCACTATTTGCATTCCCAGAATGCATAATTCCTAATGGAAATCTTAATGAACTGTACGCGCCTATACATGCACAAACAGAAATACGCTGCCTGGTCACATCTCGGTTCAATTCGGTTTTTGCACATATATACGCTACGCAAATAAACGGTTCCATACGCTATGTGTATGGAGCCATATGTTGCATATGGTACAGTACGCGCGGCAGTGTGAATGAGGCCTAAAATTCAATCTTCTATTCAACCCCTTGTGCAGATCAGAGCAACAGAAATATTGTTTCACTGTCACATTTGGTTTATTTTGCATTAATTAGTTTTTGCTTTCTCTGGGTGATAGCGCTGCTTCATGTGTTTGGCTGCATGAGCCTGCATTAATATCTTTCAATCTAAGTGTGTAGAAACGCCCAGTTATTTAGAGTAATCGAGCGCAGAAGTCTTTATACAACAATAAGTATAGGACATGAGAAAAAAAAGCTAGATTGCCAGGACGCTAGCGTTAACAGTTTAAATCTGTTAAATCTGTACAAGTTTATTAGTAGATTAGTAGGGCTTTCCTATATATGTGTATTCATGTGTGTGTGTGTGTGTGTGTGTGTGTGTATTGAAGATATTCAGAGGAAAAATGTTAATCTTATTTTTTAATATCTATAATAAAATTTGTATGCTTTTTTCTTATTCAGGAAAGACTATTGCCATTGGAAAGGTCTTGAAACTGGTTCCTGAAAAGGATTAAGCCGCCTTCTTGTTCTGCACAATACTGTGAGGAAAAATTGACTCTACCGAAGCCTACTTCACTTCGCCTTCTTACTTTCTGCTCATTGACAAACTCTCTTACCATTGACGAACTCTATCCCCAGTTAGAAATTTACACAGCAGAAAAAGGTCCACATTGTCAGCTTTCTCATATTGAGAGCTCTCCTATGCCAGTGCTGAATTATTTCCCACAACGTTTTTCTTTTGAACACATTCAATTTGTGTCCGCTGAGAAATTTGGCAATAGCTTTTGTAAGTGATGTGGACAAATTTGCCTACAGTAATGAAAGCTAAAAAAAATTTCTTATTATCAATACTTGCAACGTGGCCCTTTTTTGTGTCCGTTCTTAAGCATCCTAATTCTAAATTGACCATTGAGAATGCAAATGTGTTAACACATTACAAGAGAAACTACCGGATTAATAAAATATCAATTTGAAATCCTTTTTTCTGGTATTGGAGTTGCTTTTGAATGCTTTTTTTAACCTGAATGTAACATTGCTGCATTAACCTTTTTTTTTTTTTTAAAGTTCAGGAATATTGTTTTGTCTCTAAAATACATTCTCCTCACAAAGTCCCAGACATCCTGAATCTTTAGGCCTGTATTAAAATGTTTTCCTCTACTTTGACAAATATTTAAAAATTTTATTTTTGAAAACTTAATGACAAAATAATCTTTTGACTTGTAATTTCATAAGCAGACAAGTATTGTGAAATACATTTATTTTCTGTATTCAGCTGCAGCTTATTAGACCTAAGTGGATATTGCTACTGGGCATCATTCTGCAATTTATATTCTCCTGCTAATGTTTGAGGAATTTAATGTTTTTTAATATAAGTTCAAGTTCACAAGAAAGACCATAAGTAGCTTTTACCTCAGAGCTACATTTTTACTACAACCTGTGAATGCTAGGACTTCTCGGTTGTAGTTTAGTCTGTGTTAAAATATAAATGCTTGATTTCTCCTTGCTGTAAACGTTGCATATCAAGAGTTCAGCTTGTCTAGAACTGAAAGAATTACAAGGATCCCTGGTGATTACCAACATTTTTGGCTCCAGTAGTCCTTGGGATACTAAAACCTAGGGATGCTCCGATACCACTTTTTTAAGACCGAGTACCGATACTTTTTTTCAAGTACTCGCCTACACCAATTACCGATATATTTTTTTTTTAAAGGGACAGGTCAAATTTTTTCTAAAGCAATACAAAATCATGATTTTAAGTCAGTTTCCTAATATCATGAAATGAACATGAAATTAATATTTATCATGCCATTGCTAACTAAGGCTTGTATCCCCATAGTGGGGAAAATAGATGAGCACATGTCCAGAACACTGTATAGTGTTGCACAGCTATATCCAATTCTGCATACCTGGCTTTATATTATTAAAACTTTATAATATAAAGCCAGGTATGCAGAATTGGATATAGCTGTGCCACACTATACATTAATACACCGTTCTGGAATCTGGACATGTGCTCATCTATTTTCCCCACTATGAGGATACAAGCCTTAGTTAGCAATGGCATGATCTAAATATTCAGTTCATTTCATTATTCAATGTCTGTTTTTTATATTATAAAGTTTATAATATAAAAAACAGACATTGAATAATGAAATGAATATTTAGATCATGCCATTGCTAAGGCTTGTATCCCCATAGTGGGGAAAATGGATGAGCACATGTCCGGACTCCAGAACACTGTATAGTGTGGCACAGCTAGAACCAATTCTGTATAACTGGCTTTATATTATTATTACTAAATTTTTTTTATAATCTAAAGCCAGGAATCCAGAATTGGATATAGCTGTGCAACACTATACAGTGTTCTGGTCTGAAGTCTGGACATGTGCTCATCTATTTTCCCCACTAGGAGGATACAAGCCTTAGTTAGCAATATCTACATAGTTATTTCTTTATTGTCTTTTTTAAAAATATTATATGTAGTTAAACAGCATTTTTGTGCCCAGCCCCCATGCGGTGCTGCAGTACTAATAGAAAACGATTTTGTTTCTGCCTGGAGATCCGAACCATTTAAATGACCCTTTATCTCATAATTACTTGTCAACCAGATCCGTAACCAAAATGAACCATATATACCAAAAAGATAAACCAGCTAACGAGTGGCTAGTTTAAAAAGGGTTAACAAAGGATCGGGACAAGTATTCCAATTACAAAAAGAGTTTATTAGATAAAATATCAGTTTTGGACATAAATATCATATCACTAACTGGTTTTAAAAAGAAAACAAAAAAGCATGACATACAATTATAAATCTTCAGGTATGCAGATCTGTTTGTATAATGTGCTCTCATTCATATCTTTTTGGTATATATGGTTAACCCTTTTTAAACTAGCCACTCTTGTTAGCTGCTTTATCTTTTTGGTATATATGGTGCAGCAGTACTAACCTGTTGTGTCGTCTTCTCCGTCGGCTTCAGCCACTCCGTGTCACAGCCTAGTCATCTGCTCCATGCTGACCTCTTCTCCTGCTGATTGGCCGATTGGATGATGACAGGCTTCCTCACCAGTCACTCCTGACTGGTGAGAAAGCCTGTCAATCATCCAATCGGATATCAGCGGGAGAAGAGGTCAGCATGGAGCAGATGACTGAGGACTTGGAAGAGGGGTTCGCGGCAATCTTGTTTCATTGAAGACGCTATGGAGGTCCTGTGTGCAGCGGTTTCGGGTCCTTGAAAATGGCGGACGCGGCACAGGTACTCGTGCAAATACTCATGCAAATACTCGGTATCGCCGCTGATACCGATGCTTGTATCGGAGCATCCCTACTAAAAGCAATAGTGTGTAGCTGTTTGATGTTCTTTAAAGGGGACAAAATAAACCAATTTAAAATAATTTTTAGGACATACACTTGTTACATTGGGGAAATATTTGCAGTTTTAAAGAAATATTTTTTATTTCTGATTATGTTTTAACTTAAGATTGAAATATATTCAGATGTAAAGTGTTGAAGTACCAAGAATCCTTTTCAGTCTGTAAAAGACTGAAATTTTGCACATTGGAAACTATGAAAATTGTTCAGCCCTATTTGTTTTGTATCTGTGGATTTTTCCCATTCATTTCACTGTTGAGGCTACAAAATACGGCCAGAGAAAGCTATTGTTCTTCAGTTTTCAAATGAATACACTTGTTGCTGCCATAATGCATTAAGTGGAAATAAATTCTATTATGTCAGTAAAGATGTGGGCTCAAATCATTCGTGACATGGGTGTAAAATGTTGCTGTATATTCTGCCACCCAGATTCTTGTGTCATATGTTTTTAAAGTGGGTTTCTGGCATGAGTAAGGCTTATAAAAGCTAATACCCGGGTAAGCCATTAAAGCTGCTCATACACAGTTATTTTTTTGTGGCTGTCAGAATAGCCAGTGACTGCATCTGATTGGCTAAAGCGATTGCTCAGCCTACATTTTTCTGCCCCGCTTCTTCAATTTTTTTAGTTGCCAAAATTAGGTAAATACAACCTCAGGTTGAACAACAGCACATTTAATTTACAGACAAACCAGAAATGGAAAAGCCATGTGTGAAAAACTAAATTCACCTAATGATTCAATAGGTTGTAATAGCAATAACTTGAAATACAGTTTTTCTGTATTACTTTATCAGTCTCTTACATCATTGTGGAGGAATTTTAGTAGGACTGAAATAACTAATCGATTAAAATTGATAATGAGAATCGTTATCAACGATTCTCATTATCGATTAGTTTATATTCGATTAGTTGAATCTGCCACCACGACTCTGCTCCTTCGTTCTTCTCCCTGCTGGTGACGGCTGCAGCTGTCTGTGTCCCTTTCAATCCCCGATGCTCTCCCCGCTTGTATTGGCAGGGGCAGCAGAGACACAGACCACTGCAGCTGGCACCAGCGGGGAGGAGAGACTGCAATGACTCATTCCCCGTTCCTCCTCTGCCCCCTGTGCTTCGACTGCTGCCCCCTTCCTCCTGTGCCTCGACTGCCCTCTTCCTCCACTGCTGCCCCGTTTCCTTCTCTGCTCCCCCTGGGCAGGGAGCAGGTGCAATAGCCAGCCTATTATTGGCTATTGCAATTTGAAATAGCCAATAACAGACTGGCTATTGCTCCCAGCCACTGTATGCTGTGATTACATTCAGCTGCCCCTAGCTAAAGCTGATAAAGTGGAAAGGTGACAATAGCTGTCTTAATTGAACCCCTAAAGTCACCTTAAAGAGAACCTGTCACTTCCAATGTGCTATCACATAGGGGGCTTGTGAGCCCCACCGTGTGATAGCAATGAAGTTAAGTAAAAAAATAAAGTTAAATAAAATACCCCCCAAAAAATGTAAGGTCCCCCAACCCCACGAACGCACACATACTAACAAACACAAGTTGGCTGCACCTACATACGAAATGACGATTGCACTTCTATATTGGCAAAAGCATTGGGACACCCCCAAATCATTGGATTCAGGTGTTCCAATCACCTCGATGGCCGCATGGGCATACAATCAAGCACCTATGCATGCAGACTGCTGCCACAAACATTTGTGAAAGAATGGGTTGCTCTCAGGAGCTCAGTGAATTCAAGCGTGGTACCGAGATAGGTTGCCACCTGTGCAATAAGTCCATCCGTGAAATTTCCTTGCTACTACTACTGCACAGTCAACTATTAGTGGTATTATAACAAAGTGGAAGCAATTGGGAAAAACAGCCATGTGAAATAACAGAGCGGGGTCAGCGCATGCTGAAGCACACAGTGCGTAGAAGTTGCCAACTGCAGAGTCAATAGCTACAGACCTCCAAACTTCATGGGTCTTTCAGATTGGCACAACAACAGTGTGTAGAGAGCTTCATGGAATGGGTTTCCATGGCCGGACAGCTGCATCCAAGCTTTACATCACCAAGTGCAATGCAAAGCGTCGGATGCAGTGGTGTAAAGCAAGCCGTCACTGAACTCTAGAGAAGTGGAGACGTTCTCTGGAGTGACGAATCACGCTTCTCTGTCTGGCAATCCCATGGACGTGTCTGGGTTTGGCGGTTGCCAGGAGAACGGTACTTGCCTGACTGCATTGTGTAAAGTGGTGGAAGGGGGGTTGTTTTTCAGGGGTTGGGCTTGGCCCCTTGGTTCTAGTGAAGGGAATTCATAAGGCATCAGCATACCAAGACATTTGGACAATTTCATGCTCCCTACTTTGTGGGAATAGTTTGGGGATGGCCCCTTTCTGTTCCAACATGACTGCGCAACAGTGCACAAAGCAAAGTCCATAAAGACATGGATGAGCGAGTCCTGACCTCAACCCGAAAGAACACCTTTGGGATGAATTAGAGTGGAGACTGCGAGCCAGGCCTTCTCGTCCAACATCAGTGCCTGACCTCACAAATGCGCTTCTGGAAGAATGGTCAAACATTCCTATAGACCAGGGGCACCCACAATTTTTTGTGTTAAGATCTACTTTTTATATGACCAGCTCAATGAGACCTAACAACAAATGGCACCGCAACACACCTCCTACAACAAAACAGGGTAGGTGTGATTG